CTGCATAACAAATTGCCACAATTTATATGGCCTCAAAGCACACTCACTTATTAGCTCATAGCTCTCAGGTCAAAAGTCCTGGCCAGTTTCATGGAGCTCTCCACTCACAGTATTTCACGAAGCTGAAATCAAGGTAGTGGCCAGTGACAGCATCATCTGAAGCTCCCAGACTCATCAGCAGAATTCAGGTCCTTGAGTTAGAGGACTGAGGATACTGTCTCCTTATTGGTGTCAGTACAGAGCCAAATGTCAGCAACTAGAAGACTCTCCAGTCCCTTCCATATGACCCCCATCCTTGGAGCTAGCAATGGAGAGCGCTCCTCAAATACCCTTTCAGGAAAGGCCCTGGGCTCATTAAGGGTTCATCTGGTAAGATAAGGCCAACCTGGATCATCTCCTCACAATCACAGGAACCAGACCCACATTCACAGATTCTGCCAGAAGTGGAGGGGAGTGTTCTGTTAATTATCTATTGCTGCTATAACAAATTTAGTGACTTAAAACAATATAAATCAATTATCTTACACTTCTGGAGGTCTCAAGCCTAAAATGTGTCACCAGGACTATGTTCCTCCTGGAGGTTCTAGGAAGAATCTGTTTCCTTGCTTTTTTCTAGCTTCTAGAGGCTGCTTGCAGGCCTTGGGTCATGGCCCCTTCCTCATCACAAGCCAGCAGATAAAGTCTTAAGACTCTTTGTGATTACAAAGGACCCACCGGGGAAATCCAGGCTAATATTCCCATCTGAAAATCCTTAACTTAATCACACATAAAGATCCTTTTGTGAGGAAAGAGTCACAGGTTTCAGGTATTAGAATAAGAACATCTTTGGTGACCATTTTCCGACCATAGGGCCATCTCAGAATTTTGCCCACTACAGTGTTTTATTTTCTGTATTTGCGTCAGAAGAATTTATATGGACCGTGTACCTCCAAACCATATACAAAGTAAAACAGCATCACCTCAATTTAAAATAAAATAATAAAATTACATTTGTAACATTTCTGAATATATTTTGCACAAATTGTTTCCATTAACTTTGTCTAAAACCTCTTTTTCCACTGAGATTCTGTCCTTTCTGATGTTAAATATTGTTTATTTGACAAACACCATCTTGTCATTAATGTCATTCTTCATTTCCTCACATAGAAAAATATTTTTGCTGCACAACTAGAATAAATATAGTAATCTATCCTCTTTCTGTTTGTTTTTGTTGTTTGTTGTTTGCTTCTCTCTTTAATACTTTGGACCATTTGGATTTTTTTTTTCTATGTCTAAGAAGGAAAGTATCACACTCATGTCTGAATAGCATTTCTTACACTAATGTTTACTTTCAACATTGTATTATTTCCCATTTTTATTACTCTAAATTCTGGGAATGAGACTCTTACTCTCTCAAAGGATGCTCCATGCCATGGCCATTTTCCAAAACAGAAATATTGAGTAATACTCTTGAATGATTTTTCAGTTTAAAATACTGTTTTTAATCTTTTAGTCAATCCACCATTTTTGCTTTTAAACATTTTCCATCATCTTCTTTGTTAACATTATTTGTGCTTTCTTGCCCATTTTCCCGCAGATCGTTTTCAGTATCAGCTGACCAGATTCTGCTAAATAGTTCATTAAATTATTGTAGGATAAAAAACAGGTTCCTCTTTCCTATTTTTAAGCTTTCCCAGCAACTAGAGAGGTGAGGTTTCCATTTTCCCCATATCTTCATTCTAGTAAGTTTGTGATTTTCCCTGAATAAATGTCTTATGTGGTAGATTAATTATCATGTATTTAAAGGTGCTCAGTCATTATTCCAACTCATCTACCATGTACATGAAGAAATCATAATAATGAAAATGATTTTTTCAATTCATTTGTGTTCTACAACTCTTAAATTAATTTCTCTGTACTTTTTCAGCAGAGAAGCCCTTGACATTCATGATTGAAAAGTCATGGCTTCAATAACTTACAAGGGGCCCTGAAAGGCCATGATATGTAATAATTTATCATTTTGCTAGGGCTCAAAATTGAATCACTCTTGCTGCAAGGCTACCTTGTAGGAGAAAGTCACTTGCTACAGGGAGCAGCCGGCCAACCAGCTAAGGACAGTGCTGGACTTCATGTGTCCGCCCCCTTCCCCAGCACTCCCTCGAACAGTTACCATGAATGTTTGTCCATGAAGGCATCTGAGAAATCTTGCAATAAATAAATTGAGCTCATTTTATTTAACTCTATGTCTCTCAAGCATCTGGAAACATTTTTCTCACGGCACACAGTGCACCATAGGACATCAGTTTGAGAAACAGTGATATATTATTTATAGAATGATTATGGGTAAACAGTGATATATTATTTATAGAATGATTAGGGGTAAAAGGTCACTTAAAAGAGTTCTGCTTCATTTAACTTCACTTTTACAGAAAAGATTAAATGCAATGATAATGTTCTTGAGTGGGGGGATTCAAAGGTTTGGAGTCTTATTGTACAAGGAAACATTCAAATCATGGGCAAATGTGATATGGAATGTTTTCCTTTCTTCATTTTTCATTTTGTGCAATTCCAATTCCCCTGCTGTATAACTATTTCAGCAATTTTATACTCCACTATTTATTTTACTTTATTTTCCCCTTTAACAAACAGTGTACTGTTCTAAGTGCTTTATTAGTAATAACTCATCAACCCAAAGCAACCCCATGAGTTAGATGCTGTTACAATTACCCCAGTGCTACAGGTGAGAAAAGTGTTTTCAAATAGTGATGAGGCATTCTTGCCTAGATCCTACCACTTAGGGAAATAAATATTTTCCTTTAGTCACATTATTGGTGCTAAGTGTTAATATAAATTTCATATTATGTAAAGGAAGAAAACCTCCATTCTTCTTTGTTTTTCCATGCGCCTTTAGACAATTAAGTATTGAAATGTGCCAGTTGCCTTTCTGTGCCTCTGTTGAGCTAATGATGCTTTCCTCCATTTTCCAGTTAATGTTAATTAGATATTATGCCAGCTTTGCTTGACGAAGGCCAACTGTACTTGTTTATACTGGGTTACTTGTTTTCAATGTGTGTTTATGTTTTAGACATTAAGATTAAGGTTTTATTTTATTTCTAAGCTCATAAACAAGTTAAGTAACTGTTCCCTTTTTTAAAGGACAGGAATGCAAATCCTATTGACCTCAACCAATTTGGTTTGTCAATATTAATAAAGCGGCCTGTCACTCTGCACCAGACACTGCGGACCATGGACGCTTCAAAATGAGCATGACAGGAGAAAGGACAGTGGAAAGGGTGCAGGAGCATCTGTGACCACATAGGAGAAAGAAGCGTGTCGGAGAAGATGTGACTGGGAGACTTTGTAAATGCCTGGAAATCTGTGTAACTGAGTATTTGCTTTCTGTTCTTCCATCTGGTTTTCCCCAAAGATCTTAGTGGCTGCTTAAACAGGAGACCCCCTCCCCAGATCAACCACGTTAACACCCAGCACTGAGCTGAGCGCTATCAGGGCAGAGTCTACACTCATCTCACTGGCAGCTATAAGCCCATGGTCTAGCCAAGTGCTCAAGGGATTAATTACTAAAATGAAGAAATGAGCCACTCCTTGACCAAGCTAACTGGTCAAGATTTTTTTTTCAATGAGGCGCAGCTAGAGGATTATTCATTGGGTCATCAAGAAGAGAGGTGTTGCAGGCTCCCCCTCATCTGAAGTCATTCTAGGATGGGAAGGAACAGAAAACTTGGAGAGATAATAGGACAGAAGAGTTGCTGAGCCTGAGAAAAGGACAGGACCACAAGGTTCTTCTGGCCATTTCCAATCCCCTATAGTTGTCTGTACAGCCCAGGTACCCTGCCTGGACTTGGCAACTGGTCCTTTGCTTCTCAGAGGTTCTCATCAGTTCTTGAGTCAGGACTTAGGGATAATTAAGGAACACAAAAGGTTGCACCCCCTACAATTGCCCCTGACAAGCTCTAGAACAGTCCAGTCACCTGGTACCTGGTGACCCAACCACATCCAGACCCAGGGAACCAGATGCTATGTGCAGAGGGACTGGACCTAACAGATTCCTCCCACGAAGTGAACAAACTTGCTGCATGTGCTCTCTTTTATTCTCTCTGTCCTCATTCATGTCTCCATTACCCTCTCCCCAGTTCCCCCTCCCCTCCCAGAAGTCCCTTTTCCTTCGGGTCTCATGCCCTTAAGCTTCCCCTGCTCTACCTCAGAGTCCAGATCCACGCCTTCGCCCCTCTCCAACCTCTCCCTCTGGGCCCTTTGCCCTCTCTCCCTGCCAGCTCCGTCTCCCCTGGCCTGACCAGGCCCTGGTCCCCCCTCACGCCTTCTCCCCTCGCCCTGTCACTAGGCTCCACAAACACTCTGGTAGCAGTGGCAGCGGATTCTGCCGGCTGCTTGGTTCTCTTCTCTTTCATCTTGGTGGGGTCCACAGCCAGCGCTCCTGTTGCTCAGAGATGTGGAGGCAGTTGCTAAGAGACAGTGAAACGTCAGTACCTGGCCCTCGAGGAAAAAAAGGGAGCGAAAAAGGGAGAGGGGAGGGGGGAGAGGGAGGGAAGAGGAGGGAGGGGAAGACCTGACGGAAGCCACATACTCCAGAAGCCTCGGCACCAGCTGAGTTTCGGGAAGAAGCATTTGGATTCTGTGAACTTTCTTCTAAGCATCCTCTCTCTGATTTTCCCTTGTGGGCAAAAGAAAGGAAACATCACGGGGACCATAGGATGGGGAGAGCACCGAGGATGCTGCCCCGGGATCCAGGAGCCATGGAGGAGGAGAGGCCGGGGGAGGGAATGAGCCAGGGAGGCAATCTGTCCTCCTGAAGCAGCCAGCAGGGATTCCAGGATGCGGGAGGGAGACCCACCCTCGTGAGCTGCAGATTGATGGCTGTGTCCTTGGAGCGGAGTAAGTAGCCTCCTGAGGGCCTGTGGGAGTGCAGGGGGGCGGGGGACCACGGGCTCAGAAGGATGATAAAGGGGTAGAGGGGAGCTGGGTGATTTCTCAGTGGGCAGGATGGAAGCTGGGGGCCCTGGGAAGAAAGGCAGCCCGGGACAATGGGGTGCAGGGAGGACAAGTCGGGATGACAGGTGGACAGGGGAGAAACAAGGAACGCGGGGGGTGGAGACACCGGGGCATCCTGGAGCTCTTTCCTTCTGCCTGACCAAGTGTGGGTGTGGGCTTAAGCTGGGGGCCAGCAGAGAAAGAAGAGTGTTTGTGGAAAATGATGGGGATTTAGGGGAGCACACAGGGATGGGGTGAAAGATGGTGGAGCGGACTGGGAAGGAGCTGTGCAGGAGTGTGTGTGCAGGAGGAGGCTGGAGAGGAAACTGGGGGGTGCAAGCAGAGGGCAGAGCAAAATATGTGGGAGCCACAGGAGAACAATGCATGTGCGTGTGTGTGTGTGTGTGAGAGAGAGAGAGAGACAGAGAGAGAGAGAGAGAGGTGTAAGAGTGTCTGCAAGAGGTGTACAAACAGCCAGAATGTGTATACATTTTTTTCTTCGAGAGTTGTTCAAGGGAGGGGAGTTTGGTGCAGACGGGGGTGGGGCTATAAGGAGAAGAAAATACAGGGAGCCCTGGAGCGAGATCTAGGAGGATGGCGGCAGGGTGGGGCGGAGGGTAGCAGGTGACAACCATGTCATGGTGGGGCTGCAGCTTGCCATGGCCCAGCCCGACAGGTAGTGAGCTGAGAACTCACCGGCTGGTGGCAAAGAAGAGGGAGTGGGGTGGCAAGGAGCCCAGGAGCGGGCACGGCAGAGCGGAGGGGGCACAGGAGCCTCTGCCTGAGAGCTTTCCTTGTTAACAGAGGGAATTCTGCGTGGCGCGCTGAGCAAGGAGCCGGCGGGGGAAATGCTAACTTGGACAAGTGCCTCGAGTTCCCTGGCTGACCCCTGTCCTGCACCTTCGGGACACATGACTGTCTTCAACCTCTGCTGCGCAGACAGTGGGTGTCATTTGGGGACCTCCCCTCCCTGGGGAAAGAGGCCCTCTGAGGATTTCAGTAGCCACTAGGGATCAGGTCTCCGGCTTTTGGGAGGCCTATGGAGACCCCCTTCCCCCAGGCTGCCTTCCCAAAACGTCCATCCCAGGACCACCTTGGACTTGAGCCCCCAGGAGAGGAGACAGGCCTCTGAGAGCGCGAATGCTGGAGGCCCAGAGGCAATCCTGGCGTCCTAACCAGTCCCATGCTTGGGACAGGGCTTCAGGGTTTTTAGAAGTGCCAGGACCTTTAAAGGGCACCGCTCGTCCCCTGCACCCCCTCCCGCCTGGCAGAGGTAGCCCAGAGAAAGCCCCCGCGGTCATGGGTGAGAGGGGCACAGAGGGAGGGCGGCAGGGGCCCTTCCACCACCCGCTGGCAGCTGGTCCAGCCCCACCCTCCTGCCTTCCTCTCTCAGGTTTTGATCATCTTTGCAGACTCTGGGGGACCTCCACTGGGTTCACTGCCCCCTAGGCACGAGAAGGGACTTCCTGTGGCTCTCTCCTACCCGGCCCTCCCGGCCTTGAAAGTTCCCAGGAGGGATCAGGCCGAAGCCCTGCCTCTCCGGGGCTCTGGCCCTGATGCAGCTGCCCGGCTGGGCCGCTGACCCTTGATTCCACCGGCGACGCGGCCCCAGCCCCTCCCTGCGGCACTGCGGTCGCCAGCGGCCCGAGATGGGTGACACCTGGTCCCAGCTGCCCTGGCCCGGGCCCCCCCACCCGGCCGTGCTGCTGGTCTCCCTCCTCCTGGCAGCCGGGGTGATGCGCGCGGACGCCGGCGCCAGCTGCCCGGTCCTCTGCACGTGCCGCAACCAGGTGGTGGACTGCAGCAGCCAGCGGCTCTTCTCTGTGCCCCCAGACCTGCCCATGGACACGCTCAACCTCAGCCTGGCCCACAACCGCATCGCCGCGGTGCCGCCGGGCTACCTCACCTGCTACGCGGAGCTGCGCGTGCTGGACCTGCGCAACAACTCGCTGGTGGAGCTGCCCCCCGGCCTCTTCCTCCACGCCAGGCGCCTGGCGCACCTGGACCTGAGCTACAACAACCTCAGCCACGTGCCGGCCGACATGTTCCGGGAGGCCCACGGGCTCGTGCACATCGACCTGAGCCACAACCCGTGGCTGCGCCGGGTACACCCGCAGGCCTTCCAGGGCCTGGTGCAGCTCCGAGACCTGGACCTCAGCTACGGGGGCCTGGCCTTCCTCAGTCTCGAGGCCCTCGAGGGTCTGCCAGGGCTGGTGACCCTGCAGATCGGTGGCAACCCCTGGGTGTGTGGCTGCACCATGGAGCCCCTGCTGAAATGGCTGCGGAACCGGATCCAGCGCTGCACGGCCGGTAAGGACTGGGGCTGAGGGGGGCTTGGAAGGGGGCGACCGGGCAGCACGGAGTAGGGGGGAGGGTCTGGCTTCACTGAGAGCAAAGTCCCCAAATAAGAAGGAGGGATTTAGAGAGCATGAGCGCCTACTGTGTGCCTGATCTGAGTCCTCTTTGCCCCCCCAGTTTTCTCAGTAAGTATTCCTGGGGTTCTAGCTAGCGGGTGTGTACCAGGGAACCCTTCGTTGATGAAAGAGGTGCCTCCAGCCTCCGGGGCTTTTATGAACTAAATGAGGCAAACAAGTCCTAAAGGCGTGAGACTAGGTAATAAATAACAAGCCTACTCGCTGAACCTTCGCCATGGCCTGGGGACCTGGCATGCACTACCGGACCCCCACTTTCATCAGCCCATTTTATGAGTGAAGAAACTGAGATTTAGAACGAAGGAAGGACTTGCCCAGAGCCACTCATTTACAAAGTGGCAGCGCCTCCGAAGACACCCATGTTGATTTGACTCCTTATGTATGGTCTCCTCTACCAGACAGCTTTTTCAGTGTTTCCCAAGTGCTGGGGGAGGTCTGGAAGGAAGAGAAATGGCTAATGCTACTTATTTAGACTTATTATCTGCAAGGCTCTATTCTAAGCATCTGGCTTGTTTAGCCCAGCTCATCTGCACAAGAATTGGTAAGACCACCAACTCTACAGAGAAGGAAATCAAGGCACCCAGACGTTCAGTAACCTGCCAGATGCCACGCAGCTGCTAAGGGTTGCAGTCAAGACTTGAACCCTGGCATTTCAGCTGCATCCTGAAGAGTCAGGTTCTAGGTAAACAGGAAAAGCAGGTCTGCATTCCCGGCTGGCCGAAGGTTCTCCCCAGAGTTCTGCCAGGTTTGGGCATGGGTTGGAGAGCTGAGAAGAGAAACTGGGATGTGGCAATTTAACCAGCCAATCCCAACTGGAGGTGGACTGGGGACTGAAGGAGGCTGAATCACACAGGCTTGATGAGCCCCGGCCTCACTCGGGGGTGCCAAGGCCCAGCCCGGAAGCCGGCAGCAAGCCGTGCTCAGCTGTGGCCCGCAGTCATCTGCCCCCCGTGAGGCAGCACTGAGCCCAGGCACGAGCCCCCCGCAGCAGCAGGATGGGGGTAGCTGGACACCACCCAGGGGCTTTCCCAGGACCTGGACTCAGAACATGTTCAGAAGCAGCGACACTGGATGAGGTGGGAGGGAGAGGAAGACTGAGTGGGGAGCCCAGAACCAAAATAGTTTGGGGGGGCTGTGGGTCACGATTCCAGTGTTTCCACAGAGATGTGGGAGGAAGTTCTCTGGGACCAAAATAGCTGGGGACTTAGATGGGGCAATGGCAGAGGGCAGGAGGGGGAGGCTGCCTGGGGCGACCCCCACCTGCTCAACCTTTGTAGGTTGCACCTGCTCCCCTGTGTCCTGAGCACCAAGGACAGGAAAGGCACTGGGGGGCGGGGGCAAGCTTCTCCCCAGCCATGCACTGCCCCTTTTTGGTGATCCCTGGGGCCCTTCCAAAGAAACACAGTCTCCCAGTGAGGGGGCGAGAGGTCCCAGATCCCATCAAAGCAGCTTCGCGTCTGCTGAGGGACTCAGCTTCAGGAAGGGAAAGTAACAGCTCACAAGCCCGCAGTGAGAAAGCAAACAAGCCAAAGCAAGATCCTGGTTCCCTCTTCCTCCACACACATACTTTGCTCCATGTCACACTCCAGAAACTTGCCTTAGAGGACAACGAACTTGCCATCATTGGTAGGACCCAGCAATCCTTTGCCCTTTATGTCTTTTTCTCTTTCCTCTCCCTTTTCTTCATGGGATTGCCTCTATTAGCCATTGTTTTGGGGTTAATAGTGACTTGGGGTTCCCTTGGGGCAGAACTCAACTTTAAGTTGAGTTTCAGCCTTGTCAGCCTCCACTGCCACCCAGCAGTCCTGCAGCGTCCGACCAAATGCCCTCAGAGCCTCCTCTGGGTCCATCCCCGCTGCCTCCAGTGTCCCCACTGCTCCCAGCTTCCTACTGTCTCCCCCACTCACACACACAGTAGATGTTCGGGCTCAGCATCTTCCAGTTCTGAGAGGAGAGCCCCTGGAGGGTCCACTCCCAGCAAGCTCTGGTCCTAGGCAGGGCCCAGAAGATTGTGCATACAGCTGTGGACCCTCCTACCTGGAATTCGGGGCACATGACATCTTCCTTCTGAACCTGATCCCCCCATTTCTCAGAAAGCTCAATCCAAATCCATCATTTTCTTCTTTGCCCTCAAAACCACAGAATCAATAAGTAGCAGTTAAACACTACAGAAAATAGAAACACTCACATTGACTCCAGACAGTAAGTTAAATTATCCTCCTTCTCCTGGAGAAAGAATGTGAGAGGCAGAAAGGCAAACCAATCTTGCCCAAGGTGAGAGTTTGTTTTGCATTTATCCACTGAATGAAGGCTGGCAGGCTGCTCGGAAGCCAGCGCCAGCACTGCAGAGTCAAACAACTAACGGAGAGCCACTCTCCTTCCAAGCCATGGGCCAGCATCAGGCATCTGTACAGGAGACCCTGGAGGGATGAGGTGGGACCACCAGTGGTGGTGAGACTTGAAGGAGAAGCCCCCTCCTACAGAAGTCTGTGTGCAGAATATAAACCCCGCTGATCGATCCAGAGACCTGCCTAGCAAAATAAAAGCACATGCTTATATTGTATTTATTATACACCAAGAATATATCATTTGTATATGTTAACTCATCAACTCCTCACTATCACCTTGTGAGATATAAATTATTATTAGCTTTGTTTTACAGATGAAGAAACCAAGATACAGAGGCATTAATTACTCACCCACAATCACATGACTAGTGAGCAGCAGAGACAGGATTTGAACCTAGCCTAGTAGCCCTGGAGTCTTAACCCTGGAAAAGTCACATGGAGTGGAAGAGAAGCCCAATATGTTGGAGCTAGACAGACTCATTCATTCACCTATTTATTTTACAAAGTCACACTGAGTACTTACATGGACAGGACACTGTTCTGATGCTTAGGGAAGGAAGGATACTTAGGGAAGTGCTTACTCTCTAAAGGGGAGGAGACAGATAAACTGTGACACAGCAATAAATGCTATGGAGAAAAAGGAAGCAAAGTAAATAAGATAGAGAGCATTTAGGAAAAGGGCAAGCAAGGGTGGTGTTTTATGTCAAAACACAAGAGAAGGTCTCACTGATTGGGTGATAATCAAGCAAAGTTCCCAAGGAAGTGAGGGACTGAGATGCACAGAAATGCAGGGAGAATTATCCTCACTAGAGGTAAAAGGCAAAGGCACCCCTTGAAAGGATGCATGATTGGGGTGATAGAAGAGGTGTGTGTGGATGGAGCAGAATAAACAAGGAGTGGAAGCCCCGGGGAAGGGTCTTCGCAGCTCACAGTGACACTTTGGTTGTCACTTATAGAGGAAAGGAAGCCAAAGTGATGTTTCAAGGAGAGAATGACAGGACAAGACCTCAGTCTTGAAAGGATCCTCAAAGGTGTCATGATGGTTTAAGGACAGAAGCACAGAGACCAGCTGGGAGGCTGTTGTAAGAGAAGATGGTGTCCCCAAAATACCCAAGCGCCACATTAGTGGTAGCTATTAAACTTGGGGCAAGTATCTAAACTCTCCAAGCAGTGGTCTCCAGAGCTTTAAAAATCTCTATCAAAATATTTGCCTTGAGGATTGTTGAGGGAGCTAAAGAAGGTAAGTAAAATTTGAAGCACCCGTAAGAAATTCAACTATTCCTAGGAGGGGTGGGAGCCTCAATTCCACTCTCTCCCCCCACCTGGGGACCTCACCCTCCCTGGATTCTGTGTTGCAGATTCTCAGCTGGCTGAGTGCCGCGGGCCCCCTGAAGTTGAGGGTGCCCCCCTCTTTTCCCTCACTGAGGAGAGCTTCAAGGCCTGCCACCTGACCCTGACCCTGGACGATTACCTCTTCATCGCCTTTGTGGGTTTTGTGGTCTCTATCGCATCTGTGGCCACCAACTTCCTTCTTGGCATCACAGCCAACTGCTGCCACCGTTGGAGCAAGGCCAGTGAAGAGGAAGAGATTTGACATGGCTACCAGTTGTCCCTCCATGCCTCTGGCCACCACTGCCACTAACCCCCGGGTATCCTCCCTGGCTGCCCACAATGGCTCCAATGTGCCCTGGCCACGTCTGTCACGGCTCAAGCAAGCTTAGGAAATGAACTTTGTACAAGCAACTGCTATGGGCCAGACACTGTGTTAGGAACTGTGAGTTTTAAATGAATCTGACCTACTCCCTACCCTCAAGGCATTTATTCCCTAAATTTAAATGATTTGTCAGCGTTTTCTCGGCACATAGTTATGGAAGCCCAGAAAAGGAGTCATTGATTGTGGCTAGAAAAGTCCAAAAGTATTGAACAAGTGGAGGTGATTTGTGTGCTGAGTCATCAAAAAAAATCTGCTTTGTCAAGACAAAGAAGGACCAACATAAGCAAATGACCAAGGCCAGAATATGCATGTGTTAGAACAATGAACAATCTCTTGGGTCTTGGGTATGTAGAAGGGCAGTGGCATAGGACCAAAACTTTCCCTCTGACACTCAATCTGTGAGCCCTTGGCTTTGCCCACCACTGCCTCAGAGGGTGAGAATACCTCCATGCCAGCCCCTTTGACCACCTCCTACCAGCAGCAACCTGATGAGACCACCTTCCATTGACTGCCCCCCATACTCCATGGCCAATGGTAGCTGCCATTGGTAAGGTCCCAAGTAGCAAGTTGAGGATGGACACCTTCAGTGCCCTTTCTCCTACCCCCATTTCCTGCTTCTCAAGCATTGGGTTCCAGAGATGGGGAGCAGAAGGTCAGCGACAGGGACAGCAAGAGTCCTGGCACCCTAGGACTCCTAATCCCATGACTGTTCTTGCCACAGTGCTCATGCCAAGGGATCTCACCAGAAAAATGCTACCACCCAGGACCCAGGACTGAAGGAGGAAAAGGCCACCACATCTATGACCACAGGAGGGTGTGCACTTTCTTCTAAGTGACTCGCCCATTCAAACATAAGAGTGAGAGGGCTATTAATTACCAAGCACTCATGAGTGTCAGGCACTGTGATAAGCTCTCTCCACAGACAATTCCCTTTAATATACACAACAATCTTTTGAGGTGAGCATTGCCATTCCCATTTGACAGATGAGGAAATTAAGACTTGGAGAACTTAAAGTCATGTGCCACTTAGTGAGCAAAATAAGTCTGTGCTCTTTCCACTTCTCTATTCAATTTGGGGAACATCACAGTTCCCTCTAAAGTTATATAAATTCTACTTCAAGTAGTGCTGATGATGCTCTTAATAAGGGCCTGGCAGTCATCTGGGTCCTTTGACATTTATTGACTCATTTATTGCAAGTCTCACAGCAACACTGCTTAGCGGTCTTTACTCTTCCCATTTTACAGATGAACTGATTATAGAGTTGAGTAATTTACCCAAGGTTAGATGGATAAATTCTAGAAGGAAGGTGATAGGCAGCTCTTCAGGGAAATAGTGTCTAATCAGTCAGTCAAAAAAAAATCAAGTAATTATATGTGCAAAGCACAATTATTGTTGTCATCATCATCTTCACCATCTGTTTCATCAGCTTCCCCACATTTGTTCAGCACTGGACAGTTCCTGAGTGCTTTGGCATTATTCTTGACTTTTCACAACCAAATCAGCAAATCAAATGCCATCACTCCTATTTGGCAGATGGGAAAATAGAGACTCAAGAGTGGGTATGACTTGCCTAAGCAATAGGATTAGGACTCAAGTCCAAATCAGCTCTCTTCTCAGTTCTTTCCCTGGTACTTGGTGACAAGAATGCCTTGGAGGACGAGGTAGTGGGGCCATGCATGTGCTACCTAAATAAAGGGCAGTGAAACCCAGATGCTGGACAGATTTAGCTATGTTCACAGGAGGGCAAATTGAAGTCTCTAAATAAGAGACACCTGCCTTCCAATGTGTAAATAGCACATTAGAACTGGTGGCCCTGGGGGTCATTCATGCAAAAACTGAGATATTTGGGAAACAAGAGAGGAAGCTGTGTTAAGCTCTTCTACCCATGCCTGGCTGTGCTTTGCCAGGAGAGATGCAAAGGGTATGTGAAGACTTTAAGCCGTTAAGATGGGATAGAGGAAGACTTTAACACTTTACAGTGTAGACAATGCTGGCCAGGATGAGACTTCAAACAGGGACTGTCTACCCAGCCCCTAGTCTCAGCAGACTTGTGTTACCCCATCTACATAGTAGGTCTGAAAGCAATGAAGGAGAATAACAATATCATCTTCCAGGAAGTCTTCCCTTGCTCATGCTTCCCAGAGCTAGCCAACCAAAAGCATGCCCAGAAACTTTTGCTAGACCTGGGATACTTGAACTTTGTTCCCCTGAATCCCGCTTGACTTGTGCCCCAGAGCCTTTCTCCTGTGACATCCGAGGCCAAACTGCACACTCTCCCTTCTTCCATTGTGTCTAGGGACAGATACTGAGGCTGCTCCCCACCAGTCAAGCTGACAACCTGAAGTTTGGGGGGAGGAACTTTTAGAAATAATAGCCCTGATACAATTAGTTAAGCCACCCACAGAGGCCATAAAAATCTGCAGTAATCTCCTAGAGACTCTAGTTCACTGAAATATAGTTAAAATAATTAAGATGTATGCTCTTTTGTGTAGAATTAGACCCAAACACAACACCAAAAGCCCCTTAAAATCAAATGTCCTTTCTAATGAGACTATTTAGTCCCCATTAATGTCAAACCTTTCTGAGTAGAATACGTGACTTTTAATGAACATAAACTTTAAAAAAGAAGAGAGAAGATGCTTCTCCAGTACTAGAAGGTCCAGTTAACTATTGAATATCAACTTCCCTGATCTTCCCTGCATCTACCGCCTGTCTTGTGCAAGCCATCAGAACCAGCTTCTAGGGTCAAGCTTCTAGAGATATGCTAGCAGTCCTGGGTAGAGTTGTTCCTACAACCCCGCTGACCAACACATATTAAGGTGTACCTACAATGTTCTACTGAGATTTTTCCAACTGGTTAACATGTTAGTGTGTTTCTGAGTCTGTGAAGTTGCATAAATATTGGGTATCTACTGATGTGGGACTGATCTCTCTGCTACTTGGGTTCAGTTCTCCAGCACTGTCTATTCAAGTATTTATTGCATCACTTGATACACTAGTATGGAATCCCATTAGGGTTGGAGTAGGGATAGTGGCTCAGAAAATATATGGCTAAGGCAGCTTAGTGATAACCTGACTTCTTTCTTCCCTTCTCTACTCCTTATCCCAGAAGATTCCTTCATGCCAGCTCTGAGAATTTCAAAGTTTGGCTAATCAACTGGGTTTTGATGGTCAAGGTCTCAGTCCAGAAAGTTGTTCCTGAGAAAAGACCTCCTTCCCCCACCCATACCTCAACACTCTTGACCAGTTGCCCATGGTCACCCTCAGAGAAACCCTCATCTGTTTTTCCATTCCTGCAGGGATCCCAGGGAACCCTGCAGAACAGGTCCCCAGAGTTGCTGATTCCTTTCAAGGAGCTGGATATATGAAATTTGAAAAGACCAAAACAGATATTTCCCTTCAACCATCATGGAAGACCTGCAGCCCCATTTTCCCCATAGACATCTTTGTTGGCATCCTTTCCAGCTCTAGAAGAACATAAGGAGACACCTGTGTGTCCTCCTCAGAGGAACATCTTTCCAAAGCTAGAGAAATGTGCCTGCTCTCCCCACCCCAGGAGGAAGCAAAAGGAATGTGAGGGAGGCAAGTTGCAAAGTTCTTTGTAAAATCACCATCATGTCTGCCACAGCACTGGGTGGAGAGCTCTGGATCCACAGAGTTCTCAGTTTTTCTAAGTGTTGTCCTACAGAGTGCTGATGTCTGGGGGTGGGAGGGCTAGGGAGGGGCAGGGAGAGGGAAGGTGCCAACCTTTGTATGGAGATGATTTTATAACCATGTACTTTTGTAACTGTTAAGAATTTTTCATAAATGTACATTAATAATAAAGAGTGTATAGTTTAACAAATTTTCTAAAGAGTTGTGAAGAGGAGGGAGCGGGAGGGAAGCAGGGAAAGAAAATGCCAGAGAAAGGAACTAGGCGGAATCAAGAGAATGTGTGCCAAAATATACACACAAAAGGTCTATGGGGAGGGAGTAGATGGGAATAATTAGGAGATGTGCCAGCCATGGAGGGGCATGAGTGGGAGTAGAAGGAATATCGCAGAAGCATATTTCTACCAGGCAAAAAAGAATACGCATGTGTCTGTATGCACACACCCCTACGTGTAGGCATATTTTGGTGCCTGAAATTACACAAAGAAGAGAGCATATGTCTTATACATGTTGGTGTTTGCAGCTTGGGTCATCCATAAAACATGCCAAGGCAAGTGGGTGTGCCTGCCTAGATAGCATCACTATGGAGTATATGCCAGGAAGATGGACCATACCAGCCACTGGCTCAGGTGTACAGGTAAACCAGGCATCTAACTGCCTGGTAGGAGATCTTCAAGGCCACCCCCAGTGCCTCTGTTCTCATAGGTTAACACAGAAAGGGAAAAGATTCTCAACTCCTTGGGTCTTGCAAGTATTGCCTACACACCATTGGAAAGGAGCTAGTTGGGTGCTGTACTTTGGGGCAGGGACAGAAAAAGGAGGAGCAGAGAACACTTCTGTAAGAATGCAGTGGCAGCCATGAGTATTCCAGTAACTCTAAAAAGGAAGTGACTCTAAATCAGAAGTGGGTTCTTCCTCCAACCGGGATGTTAATTTCCCTCTATTCTTCTCACTCAAATTGCCACTGGGTACAGACAAATACCATATTCAGAGGGTAAAGTCACTAAAGGGAACACGGATGCTGACTCAGAACTCTCAGAACAACAAAAGGACACGCACAACCAGACTAGTGCTTATTGGAGTAGATTTGAAAGAGGCAAAACCTTTCTCTGATAATTAGGTACTTAATACAGATAATATTCAAGAAGTGCAATATCAAAAATTAGGGACATGGATATCAGATAGCTCACAGAAACCCAGAGCCTCATTTCTCATTCAGTGCAATCCCTAGTGCTTAGCAACTTAGGATGACAATGATTATGATGAAGCATTTATTGAGCATGAACTATATGCCAGCTGCTGTGTTGATCACTGTATGTCGATTAAGTCACTTAAATATCACAACCCAAGAGAGATACTATTATTATAGCCACATACAAATAAAAAAAAAAACCCTAAGGCTCAGACAGGCTAATATGGGTGTAACATCACGCAGCTAATAGATAATGGATCTGGGTTTAGGCATTGACTACCTGGTGACTAACTGACTTCATGGGAAAAGAATAAAATGAGACATAAAAGAAAATCCATCCTGAATCAGAAGCAAGTTTTTAGTCACAGAGATCTTTTATAATAACTTTGCAAAAGAAAATTAGAGTGGTAATAAGTAAAACCAACATATATCCTGCATATTTCATTATGAATAGTTTTGGTTACTGCATTAGTTGAGGTAGGCTAATTTGATAATAGGTGATCCCAAAATACCAACAGAATAAAGGTTTGTTTCCTGGTCATGTCACTATCTAATACATGGCAAAGGTTCTGCTCCACACAGAACCTTCAATTCAAGGACCCAGGATCCTTCCATCTAGTTGCTCCGCCATCCTGAGACCAGAGAGTCCTCCACCAGATCTTCTTCAATGTGCAGGATCTCAAGGGAGATTTGATGGAGGAGTCTTTCATGGCCTAGAGGTTAAGTCTATGAGCTATCACCTCTGTGGCCTAAGTTCAATCCCTGGGCAGGCAGACAACCCACATATGGTGCAGCAGCCCTCTCCTGTCTCACCCGCTGCTCCCCTCAGCAGTATATTTCAATAGATCTGCCTGCTCTGCTCCCCACTCTGTCTCTGGTGAATCCTCTCACCCCCTATCCCACACCTCTCAACCCTCGCACCTCTGGCCTACACCCAGGTTTTTCTATGCAAAAATAAATGAGAACATCTCTAGCTAAATGGAAGAAAATATTTTTTTTAAAGATTTATTTATTTATTTATTTATTTATTTATTTATTTATTTATTTATTTATTTATTTATTTGCTTACTTACTTATTTATTTATACATGCACTGGGTACAGTCAGAAGCACGGGAGGGTGAGAGAATTCACCAGAGCCAGAGCGGGGAGCAGAGCAGGCAGAAGGACCGAAGTACACTGCTGAGGGGAGCAGCGGGCGGCAGGAGAGGTCTGCGCGCCATGTGGGACCCTCCTCTGGTGGCCGGGGAGCAGCCGGGGATCGAACCCGAACCGACACTGCAGATGCTGCGGGCAGCTTCGCAACCCAGCGCTCAACCGCTGCGCCACCTGGGAGACCCTGGAAGAAAATATTTTTTAAGTGCATTTCAAGGGAGATTTGGGGAGGGAGATTGGCAAAGTTGAAAGTTTGGTATATGGATTCCAGCCACATTTCATTGGTCAGACCTCAGTCTTATGACGCCATTTAACTGCAAGGGAGTAGGCTAGGTATGTATCCAGAAGGCAAAGGAAACAGAATTTGAGAAGACCAATGGTCTTTAACACCATCTGCTCTACTAAATACCTGTTTCCAACTTCTTCCCACACTAATCTTACCCTGCTACCACATGTAGCTCAAAAGTCAAGCTCACCAACAATGCAGTATTCTCCATAAAAAGGAAAACTACCACCCACACATTTGACACACATACACAACATTCTGATGGAGCAGGGGCAGAGGAAAAGCACGTTGAAACCCTAGTTTAGAAAGCGGGTAGGGGGGGAGTCACAAGAGGACACAGCATTCATGGAGTCAACTGTCCATAGCAATTCCGAAATCCAGAGGGAAGACCATGATGATTGTGAAGGCCTCTATTACACCCCGATTCTGCTCTCTGGAAATCAGAATCCCATCCTGCCATTGTTTTCTGTAGGCTCTAATTCTTCCCTCTTGGTTTTAGGTTTATTCATTCAGAAAGATCCATCACCTACTTCCATGTCCAAGTGCATGTTTCCAATGTTAGGTACAAGGTAAGGGACTAGATGACGTCCTATCCCTTGGTGTTACTTTGTTAAAGAGGATAGGAAGGGAGAGGGAATGGAGGTACATCAGACAATAAACAAGAAAAATAAATAATTCCAGGCAGCAATAAGTGCTGCGAGGAAAATACCGCAGGAAGGAGTCGGCAGATGAGATTGAAAAAGCAGACTCAGCTCAAGTAGATCCTTGTGGGTCCTAGTCAGACTTCCCATGTAATATTAATTCCACGGGCACCCACTGGAGGGTTTTAAGCAAGGGAGTGACTTGATATGATTATATTTTCAAAGACAATCCTGGATACTGTCTGGAAAATGATAACAAGGTAGGAACATACACTGGGGCACCAGGAAAAGGCTTTCTGCAATAGTCCAGTTGAAAGAAGCTGTAAAGGGACCCCAGTGTTGGTGGGTTAGATATGGAGGAGAACTGAGGATATATGTTAACTGTAGAATCGATGAGACTTGCTGATGATGCACTGGATATAGGGAAGAGAAAATAAAAGAGGAATCAAGGTTAACCCTTAATGTCTTTTTCTAATTTCAGCTATAGCTATGCTTATCCAGCCCAAGTAACAGAAAAGCTGTCTTAATTCTACAAAAAATAAACATACGCGCACACACACAGACCAAGTCAGAAAACCCTGATGAGTAAGTCAGAAGGGGGAGGGAGGAAACAGATAAACAGATTCATAATGTCAGGAAATAGCCCAAACCTAAGAGCCCAGGGACAGGGCTAAGAAACAATCTGAATTGGTCTAAATACTCTGTATCACTCAAGTATCCCAGCGGATCTTCAACAGAATAGTGGGACTGGAGTGCCAACCAAAATAGTCAACAGCATTTGCAGAGTAGAAAGGGGAATGTACCCACCATGATGTGTTAGAGGCAGAGCATCAAACTCATGTGACCTCCTAGAAGGAAAGCATGCCTCCTTCGGCTGTAGACAAAGATGCAAATCCAAGAAACAAATTAGATCCGAGATGGACACAGATAGGTTTGAAATGGGAATATCACACAGAATCATGTAAAGGGGAATGAACAACTTGTACTCATCTTAGCCGAGGAAAGACAGGGACGAGCTGGCCCTTTTGGGAGGAAGCTGGCATGGTGAACACTCATAACCACTGCCCATAGCTGTGCACTGACACCGTGCCACATGCTGCACCTTCAATAGCTCGCTACCATACTGGGAGAATACTACTACTGAGGAACGTAAGGCTTAGATAGGGGCATGAACCAGGGAGCCACACTGCCTGGGTTCAAATCCTACTGCCACTACTTGCCAGCCATGGAAGCTGGGGTAGGTAACCTCACGACGTTGTGATTCTCTGAATTTGCAAGATCATTTCACAGGGCCTCTGAGAGGTTTGAATGAGTTCAGGGTCATAAAGTGCTTAGGACAGTGCCTGGAAAAGAGTGATATTCAATTAGTCATACTAGCTTCCCCTTTTCACAGGGAAAGAACTAGCAGCTGAGAGTTACCTAAGATCACACAGTTAAAAGGTGACAAGCCAGGGTTTTAATCCACATCTGTCCTCCAGACCCTGGTGCTAAACCACCTTCAAGGTCACAGCTGGTCTCCAAACCAGGTAATAATATGCATGCCCTTGAATTGTCCATCCACTCTTATGCTGAATCTGGGCTGGCCCTAGGACTCAGTTTAACGAAAGGAAGGTAGCAGAAGTAATGCCAGCTCCAATCATATCCTTAGAAGTACCTGGCAGTTGCTGCTGCATCCTCCTGGGAGCTCCCATGAGGACTGATCTACAGAGAGAGAGT